CGGCGCGCAGCCCCCCGCAGCCCCTCGCCTCCCTACTGTAGACGGGATGCGGTTTTATATTGGAAATGAGGGGCAGGGGGAGGAGGTGGCGCGCACACGGAGCGGCGATGGGTGTGCGGTGTCAATCAGAGGGGTTTTGTGTCTCCTTGACTCCTGATGGTCCGTGGCTGAGGTGTCCCGGGTGGCACCACAATGAATATGAATAGGGGTCCTTGCTAAATGGGACAGTCAAAGCGCACCGCCCTGAATAATGGCACGTCATCCTAACTAGACCATTATACATAGGAGGGCTCCTTTTGTCTCTGCTCTCTGCTGCGGCTCTATAAAAGCCCCTCTTTTCCAGGCTGAGGTTAGTCCCAGCATAGGCTAACTAGCCATCCTGTAAACAGGCTGAGTAACCGGGGGAGAGAGGGAGGAGAGTGTGGCGAGAGAGGGGCTGAGGGGCTTTTTTCCTCTTCCTCCAGCCTTTCCAGCCCTTCGCTGGCAGAGCCCGCCGGCCGTTTCTTTCTTTTTCGTTCCGTTTTCGTTGCTTTTCGAAGGAGAGTTGTCTTGTTCCGCCGCCTCCAGAGCAGGGAAGAGTTTCTTGCTCAGAAGCCCGAATACAATGAATTCTGACTCCAGCTCTGTCTCCAGCAGAGCTTCCTCGCCAGACATGGATGAGATGTACCTGAGGGACCACCACCACCACCACCACCATCACCACCACCAGGACAGCCGGCTCAACTCCGTCTCCTCCACCCAGAACGACCTGGTGCAGAAGATGTCCGGGGAAGGCCTCTCCAGGAACGGCTCCAAGGCCGGAGGGGAAGGCAGCAAGTACAAAATCAAGAAGCAGCTCTCGGAGCAGGACCTGCAGCAGCTGCGGCTGAAGATCAACGGCCGGGAGCGCAAGAGGATGCACGACCTCAACCTCGCCATGGACGGCTTGCGGGAGGTGATGCCCTACGCCCACGGACCGTCCGTCAGAAAACTCTCCAAAATCGCCACCCTCCTGCTAGCCAGAAACTATATCCTGATGCTCACCAGCTCCCTGGAGGAGATGAAGAGGCTGGTGGGGGAAATCTACGGGGGGCACCACTCGGCCTTTCACTGCGGCACGGTGGGACACTCCGCCGGCCACCCGCCCCA